CTATATGGGGCCAGCAAGGTGAGTCATTGGCAGAGGCAGAGTCAGCCATAACCCATGGCCAGTAACCTTGGAAGAACATTCACACAGATGAATATTGATAATACGAGTAGCTAGCCGTACATTGTAAATGATTAAAATGAATGTAGGTCTCTAAATACGTACATAAATTTACAATAATGTAGAACTTCGGTATAACAGACCCCCATTTAAACGACATTTAACGGAAGCAACGCACAAAGCCCGCTGGTCTGTATGGTCTGTCTGGATGGAAATATGGGAAATTAAAAAAACCAGACAACTGGGACTGTTAGTTTTGAGAGTGTGTGCTAATAGGCTCCTGCACGGGGTGGGGGCACTCCGTACAAAATAGGGTAGGTATGTGCCACTTGAGAGATGGAATTGGGGGGCTCCGGTACTAACAGCACATCAAAATTGGGGTCTCTGGAACTAGGGTTTGCTGGAAAGCATGATGTTCCGGAAGTGGACATGTTTGCGAGAGGGGTCTCCGGAACGTGCGAAAAAAAGTAGGACATATGCGCAGAGACGGGATTGGAACCCCGGGGCAAGTGTAGGATAGCGCACGCTCCCGCAGGGAGTAAATATATCGCCTCACACTATTCCCCAAATGCAATCACTACAAACAACACACCTCTTCGCTCCAAGTAATAAATAATAATAGAACGCCGCAGGTAATCACTATACACCACGCCCTTAGCCTCCGAGTACACTAATAACTCGAGGGCCGATCTGCCATGGTTATTCCCCAGGTAACAACTCGGCTCTCATCCCTTCCGCAGCACGGTCCAGGTTTCCCCCTGCTCCTGATCCTATTCCTTCTATACTCCTCCTTGCCACCTTCCCCGCCTACCTCCTACCTTCCAACTTCACCCCTGCCGAGCTACTTCGCGATCCACGTCTCACGGTACGAGGTTACTGATATTCGGTTACGATTCTATGTGTATGTAGTCATCTATGTAGTATCGTAGGATTGTGTTTGATTAGGCTGAAATAGACGCACGAAGAGTAGTTTTCATAATACTGTGTTTCTGTTATCTATCGACGCAACCTGACACTACCCTTAAAACGGGTGCCACTACGGCACCTGCTAAACCGAGAACCTGAAAACGGGAAGCTGCGAAAGCCTTCCTTAGAGTAGTGCGCGACACTTATTCATCACGAAGTAGTAATTTATGGATTTAACCAAGACACTCGCTTTCTTCGCGTTTAGTGTATGGTACAAGGAGGGCTTACATTCTGCAAAAGAAATCTCACCACGCCGATCCTAAATTGCACAAAGAACGCCACGTTTCTTTTTAGGTGCAGAAGAAAAGGCAGGCCTCATTTGCTTCATAAATCGTGCAATATTTACGCAGGGTAGCATAAACCATAGTCTGAGGCAGTTCCGTTACGTTAGACAAATATGTTGACAGTAGAACCACGACACAGCGTTTGACCATTGCGAGTTAGAAAAGCCGTTAGCGTTCATTACCATTGTTATAACTGGAGAAAATATTTACTAACAGCAAAGCAAACATGATGGTATCTGTGTCGACGGACCTGTTGTGCCGCAGAAATTCATCACAAACACGAGCCCTGCTGTCAGGATAAAGATTCGCAAAAAAAGAAAAATATTGCATCTGCTCCCTGCGTTGTGGTTTGCGATTCGCGTTGACATAATTATGCAGAAGTGTAGTGGGATATAGGCATGACATGTGTGTGCGTGGCAGCGTGGGTGTGTCTGTCTGTCCGTCCGTCCGTACTTATTTGTCAGTCTGTCTGTCTATCAGTGTGAATCTGCGCCAGTTTATTTACAGTGAGAAAAAGTTTATTCATTCGTTATCGAAATATATTATAAACAATTATGATCGCTGTGTAAATATTCCAACAAAAATACTGTAATTTTCTGTTATATAGCACTTTCTTACAGAAAACTGGGAATATATTCGATAATAAACCACTTGGACCAACACCACATATACGCACCTCACTAGCTTAACAGCATATATCTAATATTAGATTGCATACGAGAAATAACGTTTAATATATATATATATATATATATATATATCATTTACCGGTCTTTTCAATGCATACACTGTTTACGACTCTGCCATTCGCGTTGGATTTCCCCGAGCTACCTGCCCACCTTTAAAAATATGCTAGATTGTGGCAGTGGTATATTGAGTTGCGAAGGGTGCACTGCATGCCGTTTAGCCTTATACTATCAGGCTGCGCAAATCCATTTGAAATGTGGGGGGGACTAGCTAGCGAGGTATCGCGAAGGGGGGTCTGGGTGGGCTCTCCCACGGAAAATTTTTGAAATTTCCCCCTCAGTATGCGTTTTCTGCGCGAGCGCGGGGTCCGGACCCCCTGGACCCCCCTGTACACGCCCCTGCAGACCACACACCACACACACACACACACACACACACACACACCACACACCACCACGCACGCCGCACGCAACGCACGCACGCACACACACACACACACCACAACACACACACACACACCACACACACATGCATTTGGTTTGTAATAGATTACGAAAAGGGTGTCCACAGCAGTCTAAACATCAAGAAAACAAAAAGCAGAAAACCAATCATTTGGTGAGGCTGATCACAAAATAATGGTCCGTTATTTATTGTTGGTCCAGTCATATCATAATATGGTGTATATATTATCATCAATTTGGCAAGAAAATTACATTATTAAACCGATCTCAGTACTCAGTGTCCTCTTTGCGTGATATAGCTCGTGTTCCCAGCTTAATCTTGAATCAGTGCTCTAATGTGAGTGATATCTCCTAAACTTTCATAAACATACTTCTCTGATGATTTCTGCATAAGAATTATTTGATATAAGAAAAAAAACGTGCTTAAAAAGAAACGGTACTAAATTTATCAAGACAACATTTTTTCAAGTTGTGCCATGATCATTATTATGCTCTCAATGCACTTTGAATGAAATAAAAGCTGGCAAAAAAGAAAAAAATGGAAAGAAGCCAATCGTTGACGCTCTAGCACACACACAACACACACACACACACACACACACACACACACACACACTTACACACAAAATCATGGTGCTTCCAAAATCGTGGGGGGGGACATTTGATATGACGTCCCCCCTCTGAAAATTCGTGGGGGGGACATGTCCCCCTGCCCCCCCTGGATTTGCGCCCCTGATAGCTATATAGATTGTAAATAACCTTAACGTAATTTTTTTGTCACTTATCCGTGAAAGCCTCGTCTCAGACCCACCCCTACTAAACAATATGGACGTCGACCAAGAGCTGCGCATGTCACTCATCATTACACAACGAGTCATGAAATATTGCCCCCCCCCCAGGAATTTGCTCAGCCTACGACCCTGGTTGGATTGGTATGTAAGTAGTGCGTGAGACTTATTCATCCCGAAGCAGTAATTTATGGATTTTCACCAAGACACCGCTTTCTTGTTCTGTTAGTGTATGGTACAGGGAGGGCTTACATTCTTCAAAAGAAATCTCACCACGCCGATCCTAAATTGCACGAAGAACGCCACGTTTCTTTTAGTAGTGCAGGGGAAAAGGCAAGCCTCATTTGCTTCATAAATCGTGCAATATTTACGCAGGGTAGCATAAACCATAGAGGCAGTTCCGTTACGTTAGACAAATATGTTGACAGTAGAACCACGACACAGCGTTTGACCATTGCGAGTTAGAAAAGCCGTTAGCGTTCATTACCATTGTTATAACTGTGGAAAATATTTACTAACAGCAAAGCAAACATGATGGTATCTGTGTCGACGGACCTAGCTGTTGTGCCGCAGAAATTCATCACGAACACGAAACACTTTATTCTGTTAGGATAAAGATTCGCTAAAAAATTAATAATTATTGCATCTGCTCCTGCGGGTGTGGTTGCGATTCGCGTTGACATACGCAGAAGTGAAGTGGGATATATGCATGACATCAAGAGTAGATAATAACACAATGTGTTATTATCTACTCTTGATGACATGTGTGTGCGTGCGGGTGTGTCTGTCTGTCCGTCCGTCCGTACTTATTTGTCAGTCTGTCTGTCTATCAGTGTGAATCTGCGCCAGTTTATTTACAGTGAGAAAAAGTTTATTCATTCGTTATCGATATATATTATAAACAATTATGACCGCTGTGTAAATATTCCAACAAAAATACTGTAATTTTCTGTTATATAGCACTTTCTTACAGAAAACTGGGAATATATTCGATAATAAACACTTGGACCAACACCACATAACGCACCTCACTAGCTTAACAGCATATATAAATATTAGATTGCATACGAGAAATAACGTTTAGTATATTATATATATATATATATATATATATATTATATATATATAATCAGGAGTTAATATTGACAAACCTGATATAATGACTTCATATTGGATATATGAATCATGGATTATACCATAATTCATGGTCATAACCTAGCAAAAATAAACGTTAGACTCCTGTACAGCCACCCTACTAAACAGCAAACGAACGCATGAGTTTATTGAAGTTGTGAGGAATAAATGTTGCTAATAATAATAGCACGCATAAAGCTAGTCAAATAGTTACAACATTATACATTTATTATAACTATTTGCAAAAGGTGTTATATAGCAAGTTTCCAATTAGAAAGTAAAAAATTCAACCCTTCCCATTAGAGACTGCTATAACACTTACATCCCTGGAATTACCTGCTTACATTTAGTCACGTGGGATACAATGCCGTGTGCTAAGCCGTGTAAGCCTAAATAATGATTAGGCTTAAATAAGGCTACCATGAAAATGACAACATAAAAAGTGAGATGCTAGTAAAGTAAATTGTCGTTATCCAGTAACAATAATGAGCTACTCTTGTATTACGCCAGTTATGCATAATCTAACCCATATAAATCGTTTATCACTTAAAACAAGTTAGATTGCAATTCCATGCAGTATCTGTAACATACTGTAAAATACTGTAAAATTTACGTAAATCACATTACAAAACGTTTGTTGTCACACAACTCTATATATTGACACATAAAGCAAATCAACTAATAAATTAATGTTACTTTTCTAATGGGCTTTATTAGAGTTAATCTACTTAACCATATATTTTTTTAAAGACATTTTAAATCCAACAGTAAGTAAATTATCTAACAGTTCGTAACAGCAAAAATCATGAACGATCTTTCATGATCTTTGGTAACAGTATTAAAGGTTAATATTAACAGTAGATGTTAATGTCTCCTAAACATTATTTGTAATATTTCAAAGCAATATGTAGACATTCGTTTTCTTTATATTTTTGATGGTGGGACTATGTAAATAATGGTTTTTAGCTATATAGTTTCAAAACCTTTGAGTTTTTATGGTGAATTGTGTTAGCCCTCACAACTTTGTGGAATACAGCTTTTAGCAGATACATAAAATTCATCATATTAAAGATAATCCCATTATATCACAACATTTGACAATCAATAAAACCTAAAAAGATGAATAAAAACATTTTAGCCTTTCCCTAAAGGTGGTACATTAAACTAAATACTAACATACACTTATACAAAATGCGAATAAAACCACTGTAGCCTTTTCCTATAGGTGGTTCACTTAACTCAAAAAATAACGTGCACCCACAAAAGGTGATTAAAACATTGTAGGCTTTCCCTGTGGGTGACGCATTAAACTCTAAATCAATCTCTATGAAGTCAAGAACTAGCCTGCTATCGACTACTCCAGCTTCCTTGAGCAATGCACTTAGATTAAGGTAGAATATGGCACTGAATGTGTTATGAATGAAGGATATTCATTCATAGTTCAAGCTGCTACAGCATGCTGGAAATTTGTACCCCATCCTGCTGCAGATTCTTCCTGAGGAACTGTTGAATTTTCCTCCAGCTGTTTTCCTGTGCAAAACTGTGTGCTTTCAGTTCCCCTCCCCATGCCATTTGTAAGCCTTTTAATAGTAAATTAAAACAAAAATCAACATTATTACAATATACTGTGACTAATTCACAAGTCGGCAAACAGCGCTTGATCGTAACTGACTGTCGTACGTCCGAGTATAACTCACCCATGGTCGCATGATAAGAGGCTGTGCACAGAGGAGAGTATGGAGGCTCGACCAGATGTCCAGCTCCGGGATACACGCACATCTCGTAGTTATGCTTGCCATGCCGCTTCATCCTATCAGTGACAGCAGTTGTCTCCTTTACAGACATGACGGACTTGTCATCCCCAGATACAATAAATAGGATCTCTGCCTGTGCACGTTCCAGCTGTTCGAGAAATGAAACTATGTCAGTTTAATGAGAATGGGTGTAATGACGTAGATATCGAATTATTTAACCTAGTATAAAAACCCAGCGACACGGGTCGTTAATAAAGCCAGCAATCACTGGTCATAGTTATTTTAGTCAAAATAGCTCAAGGTAACATGAGCCAGCGAGCGACACGGGTGCCCCCCCTTAACGTAGCATAACGTCTATATGTTATTTAGTCGACAATTAGCAGAACGTAATCGAGTGACAAGTGCACACAGAATATCCCAAGTAAACGAGTGACACTTAGCACCTACACAAGGCCGAAGAAAACACGTCCAGCTTCGATGTCACATGCGCACTGATGAGATCAAACAACGAAACGTCGCGACAAATGTGAACTATGGGAAATAATGAGAACATGAATCGACCTGCCGACGATTCCCACACACCAGAACTCAAAGAAGCGTCCACAGCTTCTCACTCAGTCACCCATAAATGTTGAAGATGACGGAAAAAACACGTCTTCACCACCATCGTCACAAGGCTTGAACCACGCTAGGCCATCGCATTCTCAGTAGTATAAATAACGAACAGTTTCGACAGAAATGCAGACACAGTTTCCACGTGCTGACAGACGCTGTCAGGCACCCGCGCTGCTCTCACCTGCTGGGATCCACTACGCTACGTCACCGTTGCGAGCATCACTGACTGAGGACCTGCCTGCTTGCCTGCCGACCTGCGCAGAACTTCACGCTCGTAAATATTATGGCATTTGTAAACCAGTCGCTTTTCTGTATGTGCCTGGTTGTATAAAGATATGTATTGTAAATGTGTATCGTATTATTACTGGTTGCTTGCGTAGGCCATCTATGTAACTCGTACATGTGTTTATATATTGTTGATGCTGTTTATTAAAGATAGAGTTACCGTCGAGCAATTCGTGTTACTAGCATTAACTATATCTGTCTGTGCTTAAGTGCTATTGCAACGCGTATCTGTCGTATCAAACCAACTGACACTATACGCAGTCACACGTGCTATTACACGAGCTCACAGCCTTCCAATATGGGCAGCAAGGTGAGTCATTGGCAAGCAAGAGTCGCCAATAAACCATGGCCAGTTAAACTTGGAAAGAAGCATTCACACACAGAGAGTATTGATACATACAGTAGCTAGCCTACACTTGTAAATGTTAAAATTGAATGCATGGTCTCCTAAATACGTACATAAAGCTACAATAATGTAGAACTTCGTATACAATGACCCCCATTTAAACGACATTAACGAAAGCAACCGCACAAAGTGCCCGCTGGTCTGTATGGTCTGTCTGGATGGAAATATGGGAAATTAAAAAACCAGAACAAACTGGATGTTAGTTTTGAGAGTGTGGCTAATAGTGCTCTGCATCGGGGGTGGGGCCACTCCGTACCAAAATAGGGTGTATGGCCATCTGAGAATTGAATTGGGGGCTCCGTAGCTAACAGCACATCAAAATTGGGTCTCTGGAACTAGGGTTGCTTGGAAAGCATGATTTCGGAGTGGCATGTTGTGCGAGAGGGTCTCCGGAACGCTGGAAAAACGTAGACATTGATTGCGCTAGGACTCGGAAATATGTGAAAACGGGGTCTCTGGAACAGGAAATGTGTGAAAAAGGGGATCTGCGGTGCGGTAAAAAGTAGGACCTATGCTCCGGGACGGGATATATGTGAAAAGTGGGGTCGCCAGTGCAGTAAAAAGTAGGACTATGCTTCGGGACGGGAAATATGTGAAAAGAGGGATCTACGGTGCGGAAATTTTGAGGTGAAAAGGGGGGTCATAACCGCGGCACATACTACCATGCAATATATAGGAGTGCTCCCCCGGAGGCTCCTGTGCATCTGTTGTTTACATTCACGAAAAGAAATGTTGCATCAGATGTGCACCATCTCTAATAATAATTAATGTATATTCACAAACTTATCTCTCCTACTCAAGGTTAATTAAATTTTTCTAGTGTACTTTCCGCCCTCTTTTGAATACAGTCGGTGAACTACATCACTTCTCATTGGCAAAGACCATATACATATAGATGGGACACTTGCTATTACGCTATTGTATCCGGTCTTTGCCATTTGTTAGCTAGCTCAACGCTTCACTGTATACAAAGTTAAAAACGGCTATAAACTAACTATGAAACTAACTATGAAAGTTAAAAAAACTAGCTGTACTGGAGGTTTTATATCTTACAGCTATTAGGTTATGATCATGGATGTCTTCAGTGAATTCCAGAAATGATACACCTTCAGGGTGGTGTTTCAGCTCGTAGGTGTTCCTGCAATGTTCAGAATGAACTATAGTCACACTAGTAAAGTAGAAGTTAGTGCAGGGTTGCATAACCCAGCTTTCATAAGTGGTTGGAAACTTTACGTCAATTACTGAGAAAAATTTCCACATGGTCTATGGTCTACTACTAAGAGGTCTAATCTTTATCTTAGTAATATGCTAACTTATTTAGAATGAGAGGTTTAAATATGCTCCTTGATTAGAATATACAAATGACATTCTATAGAAGCAATTTGTTAGTGTAAAATTGTGTGTAAAGTAAAATGAATTGTAGTAGATGTAATATAAGGAGTTGAATAAAGTATTATAAACAATAAAAACTACAATATCCTCCTATTTAGGAAAAGGCTTATCCCCATAGTGTATGAAATGGATCCGTGGATAGAAGTCATTGATGCAAACACGGCCTTTATCTGCAAAAGAAACAACAACGGACAATAATTAACACCTAACCATCACAATGCCTACCCATTGAAACCATTGCACACACAAATAAAATAGCCCACATTACATGATATCATGAACATATATATGCCTGATAATATAGTATACACACATGCTCGCACGCATGCACACATGCACACACGCACGCACGCACACACTCGCACACACGCATATATAAATATATTATACATTTGATGATCGATGGTATTTATGCCATAGCTAAACATATTTATATTGTTTTGATAGTAACTCTTGATCAACCTTGTGTTTGTTTCTTGTGTAAGCTGCCATGCACAGTACACATTTCCCACCGAGAGAAACGCCTATTGTTCCTATGTCCGTTTTCAATACAGTGGATGACTAACTGACCATCAACAGCTTCCTATAATAATAGAGGCCAACATCTGAGAGTTACTTCTGCGAAAGGGCCATGAGCCATTACATGGGCATGGAGAGAAGTGTCCAAGTTGAAATGGAGTGCAAGTGCAGAATATAGCGACAGGTGTGGAAGTATGAAATCGAAAAATACCGCATCAAATTTGTTTCACACAAAATTACTTGTCTTATGCTACTTATTTACAGTTAGAAAATTACTAAGGATTTATACTGT